TGTTATTTTGGTTCTAGTCTGGTTTTCTGTCKTGTCCTTCTCTGTTTACCCCGWCTGTCTTTGCTCCAGCCCTGCCCACTCTCTCCCAGGTGTTTCTTSTTTCTGCTCATTAGTTCTCCTTTATATTCTGTTCTCTGTCTTCAGTCTGTGTCAGATGCTTGTTAACTGTTTTCTGTTGTTGTCTCTTGTCAAGCCAAGTCCTAGTGTCTTGTTTGCTGCCATGCCAGCTTTTTGTTTTCTTTATTAAACCTGTTTTTTACACTTCACTCTGTCCTGGATCCTGGGGTTCTTTCCATCCTTGGAAATCATAATTTTTGATTTTACACTGAGCTAAATAATGGTAACATTTTTGAAAGGGGCTATATCATGTAAAATCAACTTTTTAGAGTTTTATATAGCGTTATAATGTTATCTTCTCATCAAAAACATGCCCAGAGTCTTACTTTGACTCATTCATGCATGTTTGAGAAATCCTGTTCTGTCCTGAGGCAGCCAGACAGAGGAGCAAAAACGACCGGTTGGGACTAGAACTGCCTTTTGGGACCCGCTCCTCCTCTGGGCTGTGTCTCCAAGCTGAACTTCCTCATCATAGAGCTCATACACCCATGAAATGGGCGGGACAGAAGAAGGTTCTTAAAGAGACAGAGGCCAATTTCAAGGCGTTTAGAAACAGATATGATGAGAAGTCAATTTTATTTTCTATTTAAACATATAAACAGCATTTTAATAACAACTGAAGGCGAGTTACTTTTATTATGGTATAGAATTTAAATATATGCCTGAGAAACACATAATATTGCCCATCAATATTTTATTTCACACTTGGCGCCCCTTACTCCTTCACATGACTTTGCTGCTGGTTTTGTAAATGACCATGATTCCAGAGTCACATGACTCAGAGCTTTTGAGGTTTACTAACACTGTTTAGTCCGTTCTGAAAAGGGACCTTGGTCCCTTTTCTGCATACAATGCAAGTGTTGTGAATTTCTGCAGGCGATGCGCTGACATTTTGCAGAYGGAACCTGAGGGACAAAGCATATCAAATGGGATGGATTTAATTGGTGAAATTAATCAGGATTTATTTTTATGTATGCTATGTCGAGCATGAAGCAAATCGTATTAGAGGGAAAATAGAAGGAATCTAAATTGAGGATAAACAGTTCTTGTTTTTATGACAGCTTAATGGATTAAATGTAGATCAGTTATGCAGTTTATCTATACTGTAATATAGATCATTTTTTTCCAACTTTTACAGAACTCAACTGCTGTTTTTTAATATAAAGTTTCCATTCATAAAAGTCAAGACTCACTTCAGAAGTTTTATGTAACGAATAAAGATGAGCAGTATTATGGCAGCACTGTGTTAACAACTAGAAATGTGATTAAACGTTTCCATTGTGCATGTTTTGCTGTAACGGAGCTCCAACAAATCAATTCTCCAATCAAGGATAGATGTTTGCAGGCTGAAGACCTACAGTGTTTAGAAAAAAAAGCATCTTGTTTTGAAAAAGGACAATCTGGTCATAGAGTTTAGAACAGTTATCAGCAACGTATGCAGACATCCCCTCTTTGGAAAATTTAAGAAATGCCTACTCAGTTTATTTTTTCTTTAAAGTTAGATGAGAACACACATATTGCTCAGTTAAGGCTCATTAGTTCTGTTTTGATTCAGAGCAAGAAAATTCTAACAGCATCTGGTGTCTTTAAGCTCAACAACGAGCCATTAATAATTTTTTGGAGCAAGAACAAAAACAACACTTGTGCGCTCTCACTTCTGACTTCAAACATTAAAAAAAAAATTCTGATGAATAGAAATGTCTCCTGGGTTGTTCCTAGATGTCACATTCTCATATTGCAAATCCAAAAGTCAAACCTCCAGCTTAAATGATTCATTTTCAAAGTAAACTGAAGAAAAYCTGTAGGCATCTTTACTTTTGGTCTCAATTAATATTGACACATCTTCTCTTTTCTTTTTTACACCATGAGGTATTTGCATCCCCCGCTCACTCTCCTTCTCTGCTCCTGAAATTCATTAACTTCTACTTTGTCTTTAGAAAGAATTTACAAAGAATCAGACCTTAATCCTTAATAGTGRCTTTGACAAAAGCAAGCATTGTGCCATCTCTGCAGGCAACCCATCGCCTGGATGTCAAGCCTTTATGCTGTCAAAGACCCTCCAGTCGTTGACTCAGCCCCCCAGTTTACCCACCATGGCCTGTATTCATTGAGCTGTGACTAAGTGACTGTCCCGCCTGTTTCATAATGAAATCATGTGCGGGAAGTCCCATGCACTGGAGCCACGAAGGAATGCCAGTTATGTCTCTGCAGGCTGACTCTTCAGAACACAGAAAGTATTTAATTGGTTCGTCACCTGATGTCTGGCAAAAGCACATTTTGGAATACTAGAGTAAATGTGTGTTTTTACTCAAATTACTTTTTTTCTCAGTTTTGTAGTTACGATATATTCACTGGCTTCCTTAAAWTTCAGATTTGTCTTTTTTTGCACAAGAACATGAAATGAGACAAACAAAACAAGCTCTCTGAAAATATTGTAATGGTGTTTCTRGCACCTCATATTTTAACACAACCATGTTTTGAATGGAATGAAAAGCAAATATCAAAAGACTAGCAAACACAGGATAAGTAATGTGTATTATTAGTTATGTACTGTATATAAATACAGATTGTGAGTGCAGGCAATAACACCTGTTATATCCATATCCGTTAGAAAAAGACAATTTTGTTGTTATTTTCAGGATTTAACTTCTTTTTGAACAAAACTTCATGCTTTCAGCTATGTTTAYYCTTCATTTTTGGAAGGATTAGAAAATTATATATATATTTTAAAACATATTGCTTATTGCAGCTCTGATAACTATCTGATTCCACTCTTTAAGATAAGCAAATGTTATCATCTGCTTCTAAAGATTGGATAAGGATTATTCTCACTGAGAGTAATGTTCATCCATCCCTGACATGTTTTTTTGAAAACCTTTCACTCCTACTAATAAAATATTCCTTTAGCCTAAGCAACATTCTTTTAATAGAACCTACAAACTTCTTAGAAGAAGTGAACAAATTACACCGGCCAGCGTTTAAATCAATTTATGTACACAGCTGGAACTCTTTTTCCTGGCCTGCAGGATGGTGTGTGTGTGTGTGTCCATGGAGATGATCCTCCCTCAGCCTGTCTGGAATGTTTGCAATGTGCACAAAAGAAGAAGACGATCAGCCTGAGTACCTGGGGTCTGTGCTCAGGCCTGCATGGGGCCCCGAGCTACATGACTGAGCCTCTAACCTTTTCTTGCAAATAGGCACATGTGTAAGGAAATGGCAGAACTCTGATATTCATACAGCAAAGGCACACRTTGTTTTTGCCGGATACTGCATAAGAAACCACCACTGGTGCCGCAAGTTGCAGAACACTTGATAAAAGTCTGCATAAAGAGTTGTTGCCATTGGTTGGAAACGAAGTGTTGAAGAAGACCAGACAGGAGGAGGGGATGAAGAACATRTGCGAGGAGTTTTAGGGTGACTCAACAACCTCTTTGATTTCTCCCCATTAGTGTGATTACCGCTGCCATCTTTTAAAAGACCTTCTTGCGCAGCGGAATCTACAAAAACCTAATTAGGAAAATGAAAAGTTTTATTCTCTGTATAAGTAATAAATGGAGTTGACAGCGATGTGAAGACAAGACGGATGCCTCTCAGGAAGGATGAGATGTGGACGTACTGCAAATAAGCAAAACTGCACGAGTAAGGAAATAAGAAGAGGTTGGAAGTCTGGTTTARACACGCAGACCCCAGTTTGGCATTGTTTTTAATCCCTGGTGTCTGCAGCGTGTCATAAAWCTGTGCAGTGCATAAACAGACGTGCTGCAAGCACTGAGCCCAGCTGCAAGTGCAGCCTTTGGAAACCCCCCCGAGACACAAATGCTCACATAGAACCCCCCACACACCCAGTCTCATTAACATGACCTGCTTTTGCTTAAACCACAATGGGTGCACATATTGATCCAAGTCATTTCCACCATTGAGGCACAACGTCTGAAAAAAAGCKAAACCTTTGGTTTCACCTATTTACACCTCTGCTGTGGTGGAATAAGCACAAATCACAGACAAGGGTGCTATTAGAAGGTCAATTTGAACAAGAGRCACCTATTCACTGAATTTATAGAAACAGGATGTGGTGTATTCATTGACCTTATGAAAAAAAATCTGTAAAAGGAACCATATGACATTTAGAAAAGCGAAAAGCTGGAAATAATTAGGTTTTCAAAAGGTTTGATAATTTTCCCCCCTTGATGCTTTAAATTTTAGAAATAGAAATCTGACACAGAACAGAGCCTGGAGCCAATAAGAAAAAGATGCTTAGAAGAGTCAAACTGAAGAATAATGTGGCGATGTGGAACATTACCTTCAAAGCAAAATAACACATGAAAAAGATTTTTACTCCTGAAACTCAGACAGAAAAAAAAAACCCTGCATTGTTCTGTTCTGACAGCATTAAATTTGGAGTTAACTCCTTATCCGATTGTGTGTCCAGGGGGGTTCTTCTTTAATTTTTGCTTCACACAACAGAACAAAAAGTCACATACTGTGCAGCTCATAGGAAGCTTGTTTAATGTGACAAATATTCTACAAAGTAAAAAAAAAAGGAGAGACGTTATAATACAGTTGGAGAACCGTAAACCCCTTTTCAAATCACGTCAAAAAATGTCAGACGTCTCCTTCAGTTCATCACTGTGTGTGAGATTAGAAAGAGGATTAGAGCGATTCGTGTTGTAGCCTGCCTGTGGCTGACAGTGGAGCTTTTTGGAGAAACAGTGTGCGAGCACGATATTCCTACAACACAATGTGAGTCCTGTACGGGCAAATGAAGAGGTTGTGGAGTTTTTATTAACAACTCCCCCACACGCCTTGAAAAAAACCCAGTGTGTGTGAGGTCCTCTGGTGAGGAATTTAAGATAAGACTGAATACAAAACACACAGACAACAGACAAGTTGAACAATTGTGTATTTAAAAAAAAGTAAATATCTTGGAATGTTACAGCGTCCATTAAATTAGCTTAGCATCAAAACCTGCTGCTATACAATATTTACATTTTCCCCACATAATGACACACCTATGATTTTAAGGCTGAATCCAAACACATTGACAGGAGTGCAGGTGCTATAGCTGTTACAATGTGTCCAAAATGACGGTCTATAAAAAGCGAGCAAGATCAGAAACACAAAACTCAACAAGATTCAACTTATAGGTTAAGGCTTACTGGGATTTTTGAACACAGAGGGAAACAATCCAAACACATAAAGAGCTGTGTTATGGTACCCAAGTCACATTTAGGTCTGTTGTGAACTCTTTACATTTGTTCTTTCAAGTGAGCATTTCAATAAATCAAATTGATCCTATTGAATGAGGCTTACATGTGGRATAATAATAAYAATAAWAAAAAAATCAGTGAAAGCTTCAAACTAGCTTTTTCCATAAAGGCAACACATTCTATTCACAAGAGGTAGTTTAGTTGGATATTCAAGACAGTTTTGTATCAGAAGCATCGATTGTGCGCAGCAGCTGTGCCCATCAGGGCGCTCAGACAACAGATCCATCACCTGTGCGCCGCTGCGTCTTCACTGCTGGCTGTATTTTCCTTTACAATGCAAAATGTGTTTGTACAACCGATCGATTCTGTCCTGAAGGAGCCCCGCGTGCTCGTCTGAGAGAAATCCTAATTCCCGCGACAGAGGCTCGCTGTCGGTGTAGAGCCCCAGCAGCCTGCGCCTGGAGTCTCTGCGCCTGTGCAGCTCCGCCACGCGCTGCGTCGTCCTCTTTCTGAACAAACACACGGAGCTCAGGACGGAGCTGTGGTACTTCTCCCACATGTTCAGCACCCGGAAGCCGTGCACGAGCCCGGCCTCGTTGTCGATGAACACAAGGTCACCGCGYGGTGTCCTCAGGAGGTTGTTGGTGTCCCTCTCCATGACGCGCGAGTCCCACTGCAGGCTGAACAGATTGCTGACGAGTCGGTCGAAGTTCGCCGTCAGGTAGTCGAACAGGATCAGGTCGGTCCACTGCACGAGCTCCAGGAGCTCCGCCGCAGTCCGGTTCCCGAGCCCCTCCAGCGCAGGATGCAGCCCGCTGCTCTCCTGCCTGAGCGGCGCAGGTGTGACGACCCCCGTCAGATTTGAGATCCACTCGGTGAGAGAAACCACGGCCCCGTCGCTCCACTGCAGCCCGCTGATCCGCGCCCTCGCCGCCGCCCACTGCTCGCTGTCACCGTGCAGCTGGGACAGGGCGAGGGGAGGCAGGTTTGTGATGCCGAGCAAACTGGCGAGGTAATACGTCAAAGTTTCTCCCTGCACCTGGTCCGCGTTGATCCCATAGCGCACGCACGCTTTAGTCCCGTCAGCAAACGTGGCCATCTGATTGGATATCCTGCCGCATCCAGGCTCCAGCTTCACCACCCGTGATGTCCTCGCCTTCTGCCTCCAGCTCCGAGCGTGCTCCTCCGTGAATCCCACAGGGAGGAGATCTTCCAGCCAGTCGCTCCAAAAGATCCCGCCATCCACCGGGGAGCCTAACTTGACCGGCCCCTCCCGCTGCTCTGACCTCTCGTTGTCCCCATTCACAYGATAATCCCGACGCCCCGCGGGGGCAGCTGGATCGGTGAGGTTGTGATGCTTAAATCTGGCCCCCGAGAACKGTGGTCTTTGTGCCGCCGGAACAGCAAGCAGTGCTCGGAAAGTTTTCGMGGAGAGGTCCTCTGAGGGACCTTGATGAAAGGACCCTCCGCCCGGTCCGGAGAACCTCCGCTTGTGTCGCTCCAAACGGCTCTCCAGCGCGCTCCACACGTAGAAAACACTGACCAGGGCGCACATCAGCAGTAAAGCGAATAAGTTTGCTGAAAGAGCCCTCATGATGGTTTCGAACCTGTTTTTCTTTTTTTCCCCCCTACCCCTCAGGAAGCAGCTTTTAATACAACATAGGGAGAAGCTGTGTTCCTCAGCACACAGCTGAAGCTCTGAGCTGCGCGCTCCGCGTCCCGGACAGCCTCGACGCACCGCGGCACGCTGGCGGACCGTTTGAGATCACAGGAAGAAGTGGGGCTCCGGTTTTGCGTGAATCGCATCTCCCATCCGGCTCAGACGCCTTTGGAAACAGAACATTTCAGGCGTCCACAGCGGAGATAACCTGTCAGGCGTCCTCCGTCGCAGGGGCTTTCTGTTGGTGTGCTCCTCTCTGCTTCTCATCCTCACTCCCTCTCTCTTTCTCCCCTTCTCTCTCTCTCTCTCTCTCCCTCCGCCGGGCGCTGACTGGGTTTGATTTGTGGTGGTGTAGGTTTGCCGAGAGACACTAGGCGGTGAGACACGTGACTTTAGCCCGAGGTGGTGGGCGGATCGTGGGAAGGAGGGTTCAGAGAGGAGCGGAGCAAGTGCACCGTGTGTTTGCGTGTGTGTGATGATGATGATGATGATGCCAAAGGATTGGGAGGTATTCACATGCAAGCGGCCATTATGATAATTAATATATGGACCAGATGCAGTTTGGTTTGGAATTAATCTCAACATTTTAAGTAAATTATAGGCCCCTGCATGTGTGCCATCCGAATCAAATGTTCGAGTCGCAGGCATTGGGACTGAACAAATGTTTTCAGTCATTTTCCAGTTAAAATCTATTCATCTTCACTGTTATAAATAATCAAAAAAAGTCCTCTTTGTTTAGTGATGCCATCTTTTTTGTTTGTTAATTTGTCTCTGAGCTGTTTCCAACAGCTTTTGCTTAAACACAACCAAACACAGAACTGGTTCAGCCAGCTATTTTGTGGCCAAACAGCAGTATAATGTTAAAAACATTTGAGCTTGGACGTGAGAAAGGTTTGAAAAAAAAAAAAAAAAGAGCAGACCAAACCCCCAAAATCTGTTATTTTCTTTGGCACAGTGAAATCTAATCACATTTTTTAGTCATTATCACATTCTGTTTCTCTCTCCAAATGGTCTGCAACAGGGATGTCAAACTCAGTTACACAAATATGTCAAATACTGGTCAGTTTCTGTCAATATATATTGAAAAAAAGCTGTATAACAATTTATTCTTATAGAAATACAAATGACCTTTTCCAAAGTATAACATTTAGAACATACATAAGCTAACAAATAAAAAAAAGATTAAATTAAAAAACACTCATTATCAACAAGTTGT